TTCTTTCATGGGCTTTAGTGCGGTGATCATTCATGAAGCATTTTTGAAGGCTGGCAGAGCAGCAGTGTGTTGAGCAGGAAAAGGTTCATTTTTGAAGTCAGAAATAGTAGTTTACTAAAACAATTCAAACTCAATATGTACTCTGGAGTAGAAAGCTCCAGAAAAAGCCAATAAGGGGATCTTGAGTTGGAACTCTTTTTTTCAAACTACTATTTCAGTTTGCAACTTCTAATGCATAAACCAACAAGCACAAGATGACATCTTTATCAATGCCTTTAACACCTGTAATGTACCAAACTTCATTGAAAATATGTGCAGAAAAAGTTCCCTGTATATAGAATTTCTTCTTTGGTTCTTCACAAAAGTATGTTTACTATGAAGCAAACTAAGTACGGCAACTGGGACATAGAAATAATAGTGTTTTTGCTGTTTGTCATGTCATTTAGAATCACCATAAGGAGATGGATATTAGGCAGTTTGAGTATTGATGATTAATATATACCATTTAGAAAATGATTACTTACATCAAGTTACATATATCTTGTAGCATATATATTAAATAGTAATACAGTCCTAAAACAGGATTTAAATGACATAACAAATGCCATGTAGGGAAAAGACATTTACAGATTTAAGTTGGAAAATCAAAATACTTAACCAAATAATAATAACCAAATTACATATGAAATTACAGTATTTAAGCATATTTTATTTTGAAATTACGGAGGTAATCCCACCAGCACATTTTTTTTGTCAGTTGAGGGAAACTTTTGTTTTGCATCAGTTACACAATATAACGTCCATCCCCACTGCAGCGTGGCCATAAGCACTTACATTAAACACACACACACCCATGCTGTGGGGCTGGGCTGGGCTGGTGAAACCCATACTTCCCATCTTCCCTTTCTCCAGCCTGGTTTTATTTGTGCGTCACTTGGCTCTGTCACCTGTTGCAAGAGGAAACCAGAGGTGAGGCTTCCGGTGAGGCCGTATACTGTCGGGTTTCAGGTGCGACTCCCTTTTCTCCCATGGGTGTCAGCTGTATGGACAGGAGCGCCGGGCGCTGCGCCACGCTGCCACTGCACTCTGCCCGGGACCCATCTCACATGAATAAATAAACAGATAGATAGATAGATAGAGATCTTGTCATTTGAAGGAGCTTATACAATCTTGGAGATAAATCATGTTAGAAGTAGGGGTGTAGTCGTACCTTAAGGCGCTCATCTCCTCCTCTCCACCGCTCCATCCATCTCCTCTCTTCTCCGCTCTGCTCCGATCCCTTCGCTCCTGCAAAACACACAAAAATAGAAGAGAAGAAAAAAAAACGTGAACCGCATAAGCCTCTGATTGACTGATTTCCCACCTCCTTTTCCTTTTTCCCTCTCGCAGCCCGTCTGACTGCAGCACTCTTGAATAATAACCCCATCTCCTCCTCCTCCTTCTCCTTTCCTCTCCTCTTCTCTCTCTCTCTCTCACACTCTATCCCTTCTATTTAAAATGCCGCTCACAGGCGCGCTCCCGTGCCCGGTTTTAAGCACACACACTCCCTACCTCTCTCCAGTCGGACCTCGAGGACGCGCTGAGGTCGTGTGGCGCAAGTCAAGTCCAATGCGACGATTTGGCAGGTAAAGCCTTTCTTTCCCCTTCTTTAACTCCCCCCTCCCCAAACACACACGCTCAAGATCAGCTTTGATCTTGATCCCCTTGGAGGTTACACGGGGGGGGGGACAATGCATAAAACAGGTGAGCGCCTCTTTGTATTAAAATTTCAAAAAATACAGAATAATTAGAAGATCATAATAAAGTGTCAGAAATACAACTATTAAAATCTGCACTCAAAATAACGGATCTGTTTCAAGGTCTGAAGTTTAGTTTTTTTCATTTTCGGTCTATGTGAGAACCCCCCTCCTCTTTCCTCCTCCTCCTCT